ATATATATATATATATATATATATATATATATATATATATATATATATATATATATATATATATCTTTAAAAATGTGATCCCTAGGTAAATCCTTATTTAAAACTAGTGAGCAAACACGAGCACCAGGGAATATAATAAAATAATTTAATATTAAAATTGCCTAATAAAATGCCTAGCTTTCATCGGCATCTGTCGACATCATCAGGGCTCAAGATGCCGGTCCATGGGAGAATCTCTCTTATAGTTTGACTAGCGTGTGCACACGGCTCCTTGACCTCGTTATTGGGCCGGCCATGACTAAGCACGTTCCAGACGCTGGGTCTTTGGCAGCAACCGCCTCCCTCCTGCGCCTCCCATCCACACAAATAGCATCAGGGAGTTTTTCCTCCTTGGAGCTAAATGTCAATAGAGGATTCCCTTTCACACACGCAGATCCATCTTCCGTTTTTCTTTCTGTATCACCCTCATACCTGTCCCCTTTAGTCCTTTCCAATACCGTTCCACCTTTCCTTGTCCATAGCCGAGTACACGTTGCCCCAACCCGCTTTCCAACGTCTCCCCCACTCTCCGTCCCCTTTTTGATGGTACAGCTTCTTATCCTCCTATCTCCCCCCTTTTTTAGTCCGATGCAATTACCATTGCGAATGCAATGATCAGGGCTAAGGTCCTTCCCCCTTCTCCTTCCCAGCCAACAGTCTGCTTCTCAGCCCCCCCCTATTTTCTTTCTCCGTCTCCTTCCTGATGGCACAGCTTTTTCCCTTCTTATCCCCCCCCCCCCATTCAGGTCCGATGTATTTGCCATTACAGACGCGAAGGTCGGGGGTTGCGATCCTCCCCTTTTTCTCCCGGCCGGTGTCTTCCGCCTGCCTATCACCACGCAGGCCACTCCACTTGCTCCGTTCCCCTTCCCTGTGTGTTCGTGCCGGGGTCCAAAGTCCATGCGGCGAATAGATCGTTGTCTCCAGCTGAGTTGGGGGAGTAGCTCTCTCCTCCTCCTGATGGAATGGGGGGTCCTGGGTTTCAGCCGGAATGGTCTGTTGAATTTGATCGATCCACGGGCTCCTATCAAGCCATGATGGGGAAGGAGGGGAAGTCACCTCCTTCCCCATCATTTCTTTAGCTGACTCATGGAACTGCCTGCCTCTTCCAAGCAGAGAAAGAACAAAGAGGGTGCAAATCCAAATGCAAGGAAAACTGCAACCCTACTTCTCATTTTTGAGTGTTTTCAAACTGTACTAAACTGGAAACTAATCAAGGAGAGAAGCACCCTAGATCTAAGGAGTAATTTCCTAAAGGTGAAAACAATCAACCACTGGAATGCCTTCAAAAGGTGTGGGTGCCCCATTACTGGATGTTTGCAAGTAGAGAGCGGACAGCCACTTGTCTGAAATGTATAGATTCTCCTGCTCATGCAGCGACTTGGATTAGATAACCTCCAATGTCCCTTCCAATTCTGTTAGTCTATGTTCTATGTATATGATTTGTCTATTGTGTCTACTGATAGCTGGTTTATAATAATAATAATGATAAAGTGCCCTAGGCAATTGGGAAGCCCGATATGGCTTGATAGGAGCCCATGGATCAATCAAATTCAACAGACCGTTCCGACTGATCCACATGGCGATTTTGCCCCACACAGCAGGCACTGAGAAAATGGAACAAGAATCATCACTCCACTCACCATAAACAACTTAACCGACATAGACGAACTCAAGAAGATGATAAAGGGTTAAAAGACCACCAAACAGGAGACTTGCATGTCTTCCGACACCTCCTCAATAAACCCCCTGGATGGAAGAACGAAGACGACCATGCCAGAAAGAGGTTGAGGGTGACTGTCTATAACATTCTCAAATCCAATGCTGCTTGCACCATTGAGGAAGAGCAGCCTAGACAGGACTTTGGAGGAATGGAATGCAGAGAATCTGCTTCAAGTGAGGACTATAACTGCCACCAACAGACAGAGCAACATAATTTGGTAAGCACTAGAAACACCAAGACAGATAACAGAGAGAAAGGCACTGAGACAGTTAGCAAAAGAGTCAAAATAAATGATAGAGTCAAACAGGATGCAAACACCATAAAAACGATTGAAATGCAGACCAACCAGACAAGACTGAGGACTTGCTCCAAGAACCGAGCACAAATGCTAACGAACATTATTTAAATCAATCCTTTAACTGGCTTTTAACCCTGAGAATGTTGGGAGCTCCCAACGAAAGCTCAGTTTTCAATTAAAGTATTTTTACTTAAACCCTCCTGGTGATCGTAAATTAATTAGTTATTTCATAATGAATACACCCGGGAGTCATATTTTTACTGATATCATTAACCTATATATATATATATATATATATATATATATATATATATATATATATATATATATATATATATATATATATATATATATATATATATATATATATATATATATATATATATATATATATATATATATATATATATATATATATATATATATATATATATATATATATATATATATATATATATATATATATATATATAACAAAAAACAAAAAAGAAGTAGAAAGTAGAAAACATATCTAACTATAATGGACCACATGGGAATACACTGATAAAAATAAATATTTTTTGTTGCATGTCATCTGTATTGCTCTAATAATGAAAAAGGGGGAAAAAATTTCCATGAGGAATTAATCTGCAGTTTTCTTACTTTTGTGGTATACCAGAATATATAACAAAGAGAATCTTCTCAGCAGAGCTCTAAAATATAAAGGCTATTTAAAGAATCTCTGAAACTCACATTGACTCTTTTCTTAGAGTATTCTTACAAACTTGCTGTGAAAATGGGTTTAACTTTTAATAGAATGCTTGCAGTTCCATTTTCAGAATCTTTCTTGATTATTTTGAAGAAAGTATTGTGCTTACTCCAGGAAAAGGATCTATAATTTCTGACAAAAGAAACCTCAAAGTATTGAAAATGGGAAGGACAAAATCATGTTAAAAATATTCATATTTTCAGGAAGTCAGGTCATGTATTTTTAGAGTGAATCTTTATTTGCTAACGATGATTTTCAATAGATTATTATTATTCAAGCCTATGATAATGTTACTATGCTGCTCTTATAATAGGTAGGTATCAGAGGGTATTTGATTCTAATCCAGGTAAGTTATTTAATACTTGGGATCTTAGATTAATCACAATTGCTGAAATTGGTATTGAATCCAAATTATCTTGATCAATTGGTCTCTATGGATTCATATATGTAGCTAAACATATTTAAAAACTAAATGAATTTCTTCTCAGAGTGTATAATTGTTTTTATAATATTATAAAATATTAAGATAAGCAGCTAATAGATTGAGAAATAAACTGTAAGTAACAATTTCAAGAAAACCTTTTCCAGCTTCAACTTCAATTATGCTTCCTATTGTTCTAGGTAGCCATGAGGAAAGATTTAGAGAGAAGACACATAGAAAGAGGAAATGCAACAAGTATAACAGAATTCATCTTAATTGGATTCCCCAATTCTTGGGAGATAGAGATTCTCCTTTTCCTGTTGTTTTTCCTCCTTTTGGTGGCAACAATGATTGGGAATATGCTAATTATAATTCTGATATCATCAGATTACCGCCTCCAGTCACCAATGTATTTCTTCCTGTATAACTTGTCCATAATTGAAATCCTGATAACCCTAACGGTGGTTCCAAAGATGTTGCAAAACTTCCTATTGGAGCGGAAGAATATTTCCTTCTCTGGATGTTTAATTCAGTCATACTTCTATTTTCTGTTTGGTACCTCTGAATATGTCCTATTGGCAATGATGTCTTATGATCGGTATGTAGCCATATGTTACCCCCTTCATTATACTACCATGATGAATGGGAAGGTCTGTATTTCTCTGGTATTGGCTTCCTGGATGAGTGGCTTCTTTTCCATTCTTACTCCCACTGTGATGAAACTGGGTTTGCCCTATTGTGGGCCCAATGTGATCAATCACTTTTTCTGTGACAGCGCCCCTTTGCTTCACTTAGCTTGTGCTGACATCCGCCTACTGGAGTTTATTGATTTCCTTGTCTCACTTCCTATTATTCTGGGTTCCCTTTTACTGACATTGATCTCTTACATTTACATTCTAAGTACTATCCTGCAAATTGCTTCTGCCACAGGAAGGCAAAAGGCCTTTTCAACTTGTGCTTCTCATTTTACAGTTGTTTCAATTGGCTATGGCACCTCAATCTTCATTTATGTCAGACCTTCTCAAACTAGCTCTATGAATATCAACAAAATTGCCTCTTTGATCACTACTGCTATAACGCCTCTGCTAAACCCCATCATATTCACTTTTAGAAATAAGAAAGTCCAAGAGGTTTTTAGGGACTTTATTAAAAAGCTCACACATATGACAAAACATTTAGGGTGAAAAATCTTTATGCTTTCCCTATTAGTTATAAATTGTGAAAACATATCTCTTTTATATGTATAACAGACTTACAGCTTTGTGAGAAATGGTGTTGAGACAAAACCATCAAATGAGCTCTGCAACTTGAGAAAGGCTATTACTCCTTTGTGTGTTATATTGTATCAACACATTGCTTAATGATGGTACTGAATCCAAACATTTAAAATTTTACTCATTTGCTGATTTTTTTTCCTTTTCTTTATATGTTTGTGCACAAAATCTACATCTAGACAGCTTACCAACAATGAAGCTTTCCATCATTTGTAAAATATAACCTCTGAGGAAATGTAGTTAATGCAGAATATATAATTATTATTTTTTCCTAACTAGAGACATAATAAAAATAAAAATAATATTGCTCTTTACCCTTTTTTGTACTTTACAAATAATTTTTTTTATGTTTTACTGTCTTGGATAGATGGATGGATAGATAGTTAGATAGTTAGATAGATAGATAGATAGATAGATAGATAGATAGATAGATAGATAGATAGATAGATAGATAGATAGATAGATAGATAGATAGATATCTTCCTCCAAGATATTTTCATAACAAATTAAAAAGTAAGCAGAGATAGTATTTATTCAAGTTAAATTATGTGGGTAACACAGCTTAAAATTCATGTAAAAAGATAATCTTTTAATTTTAGTGACACTTATTATTATGTTTTAATATGGCATAAAAACTGAACATATAACAATAAGAAAAATAAAACACGTTAATCAGATTAAAACATTTAAATTGATATTCATTTCAGTAGAAGAAAGTGTTTACAAATGATGCTTGGAGTTCATTTCATTCATCATGATGTTATGATGTACGCCAAGAAAAAAATATTTAATAGTGCTGTAAATAAATTCAAAAGCCAATGACTGACTGTAGATTTGATCAAATGTATATTCCACCATTTTTCTTGTTTTGTGATAAATAGAATGTAACTACTCCCTCTCAAGGAAGACTTTTTGCTAGTTTGTCAAAACAACAACAATCGTCTTTCCTCCTTATCTCCTATGTTATAAAACTAGTATGTAATTATGCCACTGTAATGCGTGGGGATCTATATGTGAAGTAATATGAACAGTATGGAATATTATTGTAAAATATCAGAAAATCTCTATCATGCTGATATGATTTGCTGCAGCCTTTGGTTGGCAGAAAACATTGCCTTTTCCAAAACAGTTAGATCACAGATTTCTTACAGCCATTCTTTGATATCTGGAATAATATTATATTTTCAGTTTCTCAGTATCAATCTTTTAGAAACCCCACCATGTTCAATACAATCATAATTCCTGGTAAATATTCAAATTTCAAAGTTGTGGCATTGTAATAATATGTATGAATAGCCTTGGAAGACAGGGGAAGAGCTGCACACTAGATAATGGTCAAACAAATGGTAGAAGTAATGTGGACATGGCAAACAACCTTCCCTAGTTCCTTGTATTTTGAGACTTGCAAGATTGTTAATGCTTCTGAACTAGGCTATCTTGCAAGGCTGGCATCAATCTTGCAAATTGGAAAGCACATATTTTCCCTTCTCACCTTTACAGTTCTAAATGCAAATGTTGGATGAACTAACTTTAATCTTAGATCTGTTGGTACTATTTTAACATATTTATGGATATGAATCAATTAATGGGGCTTTACTAGAAATTCCATTCTTTAGTCCATGTTTGGAATAACTAAAAAAAATGGCCATTTTAAATATATTTCTGAACTCTTAATAATTATTTTTGTGTTGATTTATGCTTTTTATTATAGCGTGGCTTCATATTTTACATTTTTAATTTACCTGTATGCTAGTCAGAAAGCTTCAGTTTTTCTTTGGAAAGTTCTGAAAAAAGTAAAATACGAGTAGGTCTGGACTAATGTAGCCAAAGAATCCAACTAAACATTTACATTATTTAAATGTGCACTATTCATAGCTACAGTATATTTCTATAGAAAATAGGGTAATTGGTTGTACTTCAATGGAAATAGGGAAGAAAAAAATTTGAACCTAATTTTTGTTTTATATTAATGAAATATTATAGTAAATGATAGAAAGTTGACTAATTTAAATGTACAGTAAACATTGTATTATTATAGAAAGCAAAATAAAAACAAATAAAAATATATACTGTTTTCCTGTAATCTTTTTTCCATTTGCACTTATTCAAATAATGCATTATTCGAACTTGCACTAATTGTGACCTATCTGTATACAAATTTGTAAACATATATAAAGGCATGAGCAAGTAAATTACTTGGTTTTGTGATTATAAGAAGCATACACATGTAAAGATTTAAATGGTACATGAAACAAAATCTATGAATTAATCAAGCTTGCCACCTATTTAATCTAAAATATAAAATTTTAGATAACTGAATAGTCCTATTATTACACAGAACATGAAAAAATAAGTAAAAAACAAACAAAACAAAAGTAAAGCATTGCTGAAGGAGATACTTTCTGAATCTCCTAAGAATGATAGGTTCTATAAGAATTGGTTTAAAAACTGGTATTTATGGAAATATTAATTATAACAATATTGGTTTGGATGCATTTTTTTCTTATATAGAAACATTAGGAAACTAGATGTAAAAATTGGAATGTATGTCACGCTCCAATGGATATACTCAAATATAATTTAAAAAATAGAAAATTCTAATATATATTTATTTATCGATGCATTTATTTTCCTTATGTTTGATCTTCCTATTTCCAAGAAGCCTGCCAGCTACTTCTTTGTTCACTTTTTAAAGCTATTAACAATTCTGATTTTAACTTTAGCTATTTAATATTAATTCAATATGGCAGTGCAGTATTAGAATTAGGATCTTCTCTTTCAAGAAAAAAAATACTTCTTTGAGCTGAGCTCACTTCCTGATAATTACAATGATATCCTCGTGTATAGTAGGCAATGAAAGAGAATTAATTTGTTGTTGTCCTTTTTATGTATGGTAGAGTTAGAGATGATACAGATCTGCTGGTGCTAGACCTGGGTGATATAGCTATAGATCCATCTAATATTAATCAGGTCTGATCTGTTTTTTAGGATCAGTCAAAATTATCTACATTCTCCTATAATTTACATATTTCATATAGATTATGTGCTACTCCTTGTTAGATGCCTTGATTATGATTAGTGGGAAGATGTAATAAGTTATGTTATGAAAGAAAAATAATAAATATTTTAGGTAAATTAACATTAATACAACAGAAAGGATTAAGTCTAGAATCCTATAGAATATCATACTCATTGACTTTTAGATTTTAACAGCAATGAAGAAGCACATTATATTGTATCCTCAAAAGAATTGTCCTAAGAGAACCATTTTACTAAATGATCATTAGGGTAATGTAAACGGAAGAATGGAACTTCTCATGGAACTGGAAGTAACAAGACAGCAACATTAGTTGCAGACCATAAATAAAATCTACTCTGAATGCATTGTTCAATCATTTTATTAGGATTACCCTGAAGCATTCAAGAAGACCTCCAAGGTCCCTTCCAATTCTGTTATTTTGTACTAGTGGACATTAAGGGGAGGCCTAGGCTCCCAGTGATCCTGGATGTTCACTCCTGATCTAATAGAAATAAGTTAGCCGAATGGAGCATTTCATATAACTGAATGAAGAAATTTGTCCATTTTGTGAAGAAATGCAAATTTTATAGTATTCTTCAATGTTATACATATGATTATCACTTGAAAATTTGCTTTCTTAGTAAAAGGAGTTCTAAGAAACCGAAAGACTGATATATGTGAGTAATATATTTCCTTTTAAGGAATTCAAAAAGGCTCTGATACATTCTCATTTGAGAGTTTAAAATATTAATGTTACATTGACTTGTAGAAGAAGAAAACATCTACTGATCCAATAAAGATTATTTTCCAACAATAAGCAGTATGTCCCTCTGTTTTTCAACAAAGTATACTGAATAGAATGTTCACTTGACTGGGGAGATTCTATAAACATTATTAGGAAAAGATGACTAGATTGGACAGTTGGATTTGATTTCTTTGTGGTGCAGCAGGAATATTTAAAGAACTGAAATTATTTGAAAATAATTTGCAATAATTTTTAGACACACTGCATCTTTGACCATTATTCCAGAAGTTATACTTCCAAATATAGATGGGCCAAGGCCCAAGATGAAGAAATAGGTAGTGCCAAGGGGAAAAAAAGAAAATACAATAATTATGATTAATGAAATTATTAAATATTCAGTATGCAGTATTTTCCACTGTTTTCTGTCACTCTGAACAATGTACAGAAATCCAGCAGAAATATTGATAGCATTATGGAAGTTGAACCCAAATATTCAAGGAGGATGTTTGTTCCTCTGATTCCAAGTTGTGCATTTTCATCTTATTAGAAGATGAAGATTTGGATGGCACTTCAGAGAGCAATGTGTCTTGACCCTTATAACCTCTCTTCTCTTTGTTCTCCACAAACCTCAGTTAGAATAAAGTAGACATTTTTAACTCCATTTTTTTGTTTGTTTGGGGACGGAAGAATCAAAACTTTTAATATATCGGTTTGGTTTCTAACTAAGCCATACCTTTATGCTGTCTTACTAATTCTTATGTATTTAAGTTAACTTTCTGGAGTCAACAGTAGCAAACAATTTATGATCATAGATTTTTAAAGGATTTAACTGTGATTTGCTTAACTCAGTGGCTCATAAATTCTAAGCCTTTTTTCAAGCATTCCTCCACTTCTTTTAACTTAACATACTTTCTATGTATTTACATAATTGTCTTCTCTTTCCAAATGTTTAATATTATTCTTTATGAAAAATAAATAGCAAAAATATAATGACATTATTTTCCACAATATATATTTTTTAATCTGACAACAAAATGAGAATCTGTGGCTGTCATCTTGATTGGTTTTTCTCTGTCTTCTTTACTTTTTAATATATTACTAATTTAATGCATATTTCTATTATTTTTGTCAGGAATTTCCAAAACATGATGGAGAATCATACACTCATTGTCAGTTTTCAGCTACTAGATTTTCCTGAACTACATCAACTTGAACATCTGATTGGCTTCATTCTTCTCGCATCATATATGATTACTTTAGCTGGAAATATCATGATTATCATCCTGGTTATTCATGATCCCCAACTACACATCCCCATGTACTTTTTCTTAGGTAATCTTTCTTGCTTAGAAATTCTAATCACAACCTCCATTATTCCCAAGGTACTGGTGAGTCTTTTGCTGGGCAACAAATCTATTTCATACCCAGGGTGTCTTTCGCAGTGCTATTTTTTCTTCTTCCTGGGAAGCAGTGATTTTGTCCTTTTAGCAGTCATGTCATATGATCGGTATGTGGCCATTTGCAATCCTTTGCAATACCCAGTGATCATGAGACATGAGTTCTGCCTATGGCTAGTTATTAGCTGTTATGCAACAGGTTTTTTGGGAACCATTCTCCCTACCATCCTAGTTACAAATTTGCCTTTCTGTGACAGAAATCAGATTGATCACTTTTTCTGTGATAGCTTGGCCTTGATGAAACTGGCCTGTACTGACACTAATCTTGTGGAGTTAATAAGTTTTTTCTCATCCTCTGTGATTGTGGTAGGGTCTTTCATTAGCACCATTATATCCTATGTTTATATAATCACAGTTATTGTCCAGATTCCATCTTCCTCCGGAAGACAAAAGGCATTCTCTACTTGTTCATCCCACTTAACTGTGGTTAGTCTTGGATATAGCAGTTGCATTTTCATGTATGTAAGGCCTTCAGGCAGCAATCCATCAACAAATAAAATTGTTTCTCTAATCAATACAGTATTGACTCCTTTGTTGAGCCCATTCATATTCAGTTTGAGAAATAAACAAATGAAAGAGGCTGCAAAAATAATTTTCATAAAGCATGCAGTCTACTGAAGTTAATTCACATTCTCTCAATGGAGAACTTCTGGAAATTGTAAGTTGTAAGTTGCTGTGCGATCAAGTTAACATGATCAAGTTCAAGTTCAATATTTGTGTAGACATGGAAAAGAAATGAACAACCTCTCCTTTCTTCATGTTATACTAGCAGTTGATGAAAGAATTGATATTCCTACCTATAGTATAATCTGCACCTCAGAATTGCACCTTAAAAGAAAACTATGGATGAATATCAAGGGGAAAAAAATCCTGGCAGGATTCTTTTTTCTGCAATATAATTAAAAGTGATTGATAACCAAACATTATTTTTGTTAGATAAGGAAAATTAGTGGATTCCTATCATTTTGTATTTAAAAGAATCAATTGTTAATAAAGATTGGTATTTAATATTAAGATCAGATAGCTATGCACAAATATTTAGTTTGCACTATTTTTTTAAAAAAAATATTCTTTTTTTTTACGATTTTGTGCCAGTGCATTCCAGTCTACATATGTGTTTCTGATGTGAGAAAGTGAACTAAGTGTCTCTACTATACATTTAATAGACCGAAAAAATGACATAGTTTCTGAAAAGCAAAGCAAATGTATCTCTTGAAAATTGACTTCATGTTCTTATTTTATTTAATTTCATTTTTTGGATGATCAAAAGTTATGAAAATGCTTGGACAATTATTAAAGTAATGAAAACATTCTGGATTTTTTTGCTGTTGCTGCTTTAGTAAAGATAATAAAGTTGCTAACTTCAGGCTTTTCCTCACCACTGAATTTTATTCATAATGCTATTCACTAATCCTTAGATAGCAGAAAACAAAATGAAATTTCCTGATCGTCTTTCTCCATCAACTATCTCTATTCATGTTCTGAAACCCTTGCTTTCTTTCATGGGGATATAGTAAAGGAAAATTGTTGCCAATGAATGTTTATTCCATAGTTAACTTGTTGAAAAGTAAAAAAAAAAACATTAATGAAAATGAAGAGATAGCTCAGAGCACAGTTATAAGAACCTAGATTTTTTATACTCATCTATTGCCAACTTGTGAATGACAAAGACAAAACTATGATCTAGGATATTAAATATGAAGGCACGAAAAAGAGGATATCCAATTCAAATGTGGTTGTTTATGTCAGTATTTCCTTCTGTTCTCCAGAAGATTTAAAAAAAAACTCATAAATAATTAGATATCTGATGAATGGCATGATCAGGTTTAGAGACAACAAGATGATAGTGATAACTGACAAAAAATAACCATGCATGCATGTATACTTTGCATGTGACCTAATAATATTGTCCATAATAGGCTGTTCACAAGTATAATGGATTTCCTTTTCCTATGCTAGGGAATAGAATCACTAAATTTACATTGATTATTCTGCTGAAAACACTTTCTAAATGCTGTAGCACTAATACCATTCCTACTAAGCCTCTGCTTGAAAATACATTTATTTTAGATGAAATGAAAATGATGGGCAGATCATTTAAGTTACTAGTAATAGAAGGCTGTTGCTATATTACTTATGTGTCTCTATTCTTGCACAAATAATTAAGACAGATGTACAGAAATAAAATGCATGTCCTTTTAACCATAAAAAATGTGTATTAATTTAAATGATGAAAAACCTTTTTAAACCAAAAAGGCATTAATAGAATTGGAATAAAAACACAGTGGAACTTTTAATTTTTTAATTTAAATTTGTTTCCTCAATTCTCCTATTATATCCATTGTATAGTTCAATAGATTTGCTATAGTTACTTTATAAGCAACAAAATCCATTAAACATTCAAAGATATAATAAAAGTATGCATGTATAGCTATATGCCTAATTTTGTTTAGCAACATATTCTGATTTATTTACATATAAACACTGAAGTTTTACCCAATTTATTCTAACACTAGCTGAATTCTTGCACCTTATTCTGTATATAAGAATAAAAGTTGCACCCTTTCCTAGATGCAGTCAGTTATAATGCTTTGTTATATAATAGCTATAAAATAAACGAGTTAAGTTAATTAACTTTCAATTAAAAGTTCAACACCTCAGGTGGAGACCAAAGTTTCTTCCTAGGAACCTTTGACTAGAAGATCATGTACTGATTTTGAAATTTTGCTTACTTTAACCATGCAGCTTGGTAATCTGCCCTCATAACTAGAATCATGTAGCTTCATGTTTAGTGGTTCAGAGTTACTTAAAAAAAATCAATAAATGACATACATGGAATTTGATTAGTACCAAATGCTATGTAAAACTATATATCTGCAGCTATCTATATATTAGTTGGATTTCAGTGACAATATAAATTACCCTGATAAATAATTTTTGTGTTGCTTTGACCTCCCTTTGCCAATATGAAGCAGAAACTTTATCATATCCTTCAGAGTTCAATTATGGCATTTCTTTTCCATTTTTTTTATCAATTTACCCTGATGCTATCTTTGAACCCAGGAAATGTCTAGTTTCCAGCATATCTCCATAGAAATAATATTACATAATCATATAACCAAGGGTCCATTTTAATCTCATTTTGAAAGCTTGTGACTGGAACTTCCTAAGAAGTTTAAACAAAATAAAGACAATTGAAAGTGATACAATATACTTACTCCATGCAAATATAATTCTGAAGATTATTCTATACTTCATAATAAGAAAAGTTCATTGAAGCTTATAATATGGAATTCATGGTTACAGGTAGGCAGATTATAGGTAGGCCTCAATTTACGACCACAATTCAGCCCCAAATTGCTATTGCTAAGTGAAACAGTTGTTATGTGAATTTTGTCACATTTTATGACCTTTCTTGCTTGCCATAGTTGTTAAGTGAATCAGTGCAGCTGATAAGTTAGTAACATGGTTGTTAAGGGAATCTGGCTTCCCCTTTGACTTTGCTTATAAGGAAGTCACAAATGGTGATCACATGTCTCTTGGACACTGCAACCGTCACAAATATAAATCCGTTGCCAAGCCTCTGAATTTTGATCACATGACCTCGCAATGGTCATAAGTGTGAAAAAGGATCATATTTTTCCAGTGCCTTTATAACTTTGAATGGTCACTAAATGAATTGTTGTAAATTGAGAACTACCTGTGCACATTACATCAAAGACAATCCTCCATTATTTAGATGAGAAGGAGCAGACAAGACAATAATATTTTATCTATAGTTAGGAACATAATAAAGATCATTCCATCAGACTCATGTTACAATTGTATATTTGAACATATCTGATTTGATTTTGAAATTTAGTTTGAAAATGTTGCTATAGCAACTACATATGCCAGTACATTAGAAATTATACATATAGTAAGCTTATGATATTTCAGTTTACTGATTTTTGAAACAAATGCAATGTAAAAATAACAGTAAATTAAAATCTACAACCACATTTCATTGCTTTACAAGCAACATTGGGCATGCATCTTCTCAATTAGTTTCTGAAAGGCTCCTCTGAAATCATTATTCTTCAGACTGTAAATTACAGGATTCAGAAGGGGTGTTATGACAGTGTAGAAAATAGATATCACCTTATTCAGCTCTGAGGAAAAGTTAATATTGGGGCGAACGTACATTGAGATCATAGTGCCAAAATATATTATCACCACAGCCAAGTGGGAGCCACAGGTGGAATAGGCCTTTTTCCTTCCAGAAGCAGAGGGGATTTTTAGAATAGTAAAGATGATGAAGGCATAAGACACCAAGGTAAGCAGGAAACATGTAAAAAGGACCAACAAAGAGAGCACAAATATAGTAATCTCAGTGACTGAAGTATCAGAACAAGAGAGCTTCAACAAAGGTGGGATATCACAAAAGAAATGATTGATTTGGTTGGATCTGCAGAAAGATAATTTGGAGATCAACAAAGATGGTAACAGTCCTGTGATGAGACCAATCACCCAAGACCCAATTGCCAGTCGACTACAGGACTGACTGTTCATGGTTACTGTGTAATGCAATGGATCACAGATGGCCAGGAATCTGTCGTATGCCATCACAGATAAAAGAAAGCATTCTGTTGCTCCCAGGAAGACAAAAAAGTAGAGCTGAGTTATGCATCCATTGTAAGAGATGGTGTTGGTCTCCCAGAGAAGACTGCGGAGCATTTTAGGCACAATTGTGCTGGTATACCAAATCTCTAGGAAAGAAAGGTTTTGGAGAAAAGCATACATAGGAGAGTGGAGACATGGCTCCAATTTAACCACTGCAATGATAATCACATTCCCTGTGACAGTTAATATATAGATAAATAAGAATAGAGCAAAAAGGGTGATCTCCCACTTTGAAAAGATCTGAAACCCTAGAAGCTGGAATTCAGATATGGTGCTGCGATTCTCCATCTGCTGCAATGTTCTTAGGTTCTCCTGCAGGTGTAACTCAATTGTAATAGATTACTTCTATGGAGAGTGAGGAGACCTATGTCTAATAGCATCTCCATGTTACCATTCTTTATTTCTCAAATTTAAGAAACACCATGAGATGATCAATGCTTATCATGACCTGAAATATTAAAAACAAGAAGCAAATATTCCTTGCTTGTCTCCAAGAGAAATGATAGGGAAATCCACAATGCTCTTGTCAATTTCACCCTTATTTCTTTGTCTAGGCTAAGGGGAAATTTCAAATGTTTCCCTTAAAATGCCTGAAACTCAGGAACAAGAGGCAATTGCTTGCTGAAATAGGAGAGTGGAGCATCACAAATCAAACCAAAGCTTCTTTGTTGATTTAGTTATTGTACAACTGGACCTTAATTGTGATCAAAAAGTGCTGACAGTGTTCGAACCCAAAAATTCCAATCTGTTTTCAAAAGTCTAGTGCAGAATTCTAGTGTGAATATACTGAAAGAGACAGACAGAGAGAGAGAAATAATGATAGCAACTGTAAATAAAATTATAGGTTTTAAAAATAACAATGATGAATGAAGTTATTATCCTTATACTTGTACCAGAGCAAATACCATTAAGTTCTTTGTTTGTGTTTGTTTATTTTTTGAAATGAAATTATTAAA